CTATCTATCTATCTATCTATCTATCTATCTATCTATCTATCTATCTATCTATCTATCTATCTTTCTCACTCCAGTGCCTATGGTAAGACACAGCAACCCTGTTGAATTGACAGAATAATAGAAATGAAGCAGTTTACAGTAAAAAGGTAAGTATCAGGCTGTAGCTGGGAAGGCAGAATTGAATGGAAAGTACCCCAGGGCAGATGTTTGCATGACAGGAAAACTACTCTATTTTTCTACTTGTGCCTGTGCTTTTCTTTCCAGGGCTGCTGATAAGCTCAGGCTGTGCATTGTATCCTTTAGGATGGAACAGCCCGGAGGTAATGCAAACATGCGGGAATGTCTCCAGTCAATTCCAGTTAGGTAAGACAGTATGGCCAGAATGGCACTGATAGTTTATGGGAAAACTGGCTTCAAATATTTACCCATTGAAGCTTTCTCTGTGACTAATGACACTGGCCTTCATACGTAATGCTGTCATTGTGTAGGAGGAGATGTGTTTTTTTTTGGGGGGGGGTTCTTTGGCCATTGTAAAATTTAGGGGTTGGCTTAAAATTTCTGCTTTTTAAATTTTTTCTCTGAGTTCTGGAGTTAAAGGTGTGCATCATCATGCCTGGCTCAAAAAAAAGAGAGATTTATTCTTTGAATTCATATTCTTTTCTTGTTTTCTTTTGTGTGGGGGACAGAAAAGAATTAAAACAATGTTAATAACATTTAAGATGCTTTTGAACATTTACTGTATTTCATGGATTATGTCATGACCAGTGAGGACAGCAAAGAAGAAATAGGTGAAGAAGAGCCTTTTGGGAGAAGGTGGTTATGAACTTACACATGGGCTTAGAGCTTTTAGTTAATAGAACCAGGGTTCAAATCAAGACCATATGTTTATTGCTGCACTATTCATAACAGATAAAAATAGAACCAGCCAAATATCCACCAATAGTGTAAATGATGTATAAAATGAATATGCAGATCAAAATGAAAAAATAAAACAAGAAGATATGGCATGGAAACACCGTTTGTTTTTTTAGCCACAAAAATAGAACAAAGTTTTAACATTTTCAAAAAAATGGAAGGAACTGTTAAATTAAGTGAAATAAACCAGACTTACAAAGACATATATCATATATTTCTCCCTTATGTAAAACTAAAACTTAAATTTAGGTGTAGCTGTGTCTGTGTGATTAAGATATAAAACAAAAAAGAGGACCTTGTGAGGGCAGGAGGAGGTCTAAAGGGAATGATGAAAGAGCACGAAAAGATAATGGAATGTTTCTAGCATGAAATCAGGAGACAAAATAACTTTTAATGAGGAAGAAGACTAATAAGAGGAAAAGGGATAGGAGAAAGATAATGGATGAGGAGATTAAGTACAAAGTGTACTGATAGACATTAGAAAATTTCACAACAAAACATATATTAAACAAATAATAAAGAGAAAAAATACTTAAAATGTAATTGATTTTTCATAAACCCTGCCCTAATTATATCTCACTATGTCTCCAGCAGAGGTAACTATTATCTGTAATTTACAGGTTTTAAAAGGTTAAAATGGTGATTATATTATGAACATTATATTCACTTTCATAATTTATTCTCCATGCAACTCTGTAAATTTGCTTTTATATAGAAGTATTATTCTGAGAAAAAGGAAAAAAAAAGACTTTCCTCTCCTTTCATTGTATAAACAAAGACCTGGGTATCAGTTTTAATGATACAGCAGCTACTTTATATTGCTTGGCAAATTCAGCATATTTTTACACAGATTAGTAGACTATTTGAATAAAAAGATTTAGCTATTATTTGGTTTAAGTCTTGCTTATTATTCTTATCCTTTATATTAAATACTACAACCTCTGGTTTACAAGGTGATCCAATAGATACTGTGCTTGCTATGCAAGCCTGAGAATCTGAGTTCAGATCCACTGCACCCATGTAAAAAGCTAGAAATGTCTGTGCATGTCTATGCATGTCTATGCATGTCTGCAACTCCAGTATTGTGGAAAACAAGTAGAACCAGGCAGAGTTTTAAAGCTCACTGGGCAGTAGTCTTAGCTAATGGATGAGCTCCAGATTCAGTAAATAAACATCATCTCAAGAAAAGTAATGTGGAGAATGGTTGAGGAAGACATTCCAATATTGACCTGTGAGCACCACACATATTAACACATATGTGTACCCTTCACATGGATGGACCTCACCACATGCATACAGCATAAACACACACACACACACCAACCTCAAAGGCCACTCACTGTCATATATTTATGTATCAATTTCCTTTTGTAGCACATAATGTGTAATCATTTGTTCTTTTTTTTTTTTTTTTTTTTTGCCCATCTGTTTTCCTTAATAGAGTGGAAGCTCTGTGATGGAAGACACTTTAGCTGGGTTTTGTAAGTAACCAAATAGTACTTTTTACTGGAACAAGTATGTTCTCACTTCTTCAATCTGATGACAAGGAATCAGAGGTCAAGAAACTGATCGCACAGCCCTAGTTACCTGACTTCACACTATTTTGTTTTTAGGCAAGGATCCAAAGGTGATTCCATCTGTTCTGGAAGAGACATGGAGTATTTGATGCTAAATTATAGTGTTGTCACTACTGTGACAAGGAGGACAGGTTCTTCATGAGAGAAAAATAGAGGAGATTCTTACTTCAATTAGGGAAAGATTAGGGAAAAACCCCCTAACAATGAGTGATTTTTTTAAGGAACCTGAGAGATTTGTAGTATTAACTGGAGAAAATTCAAGAAGAAAGTACTACACATACATAGAAGACAATATTTTATAAAGAGCAATGACTTAAATATTGGGAAACTGGAAGATCAATGTTGCTGGAAGTGAGTGAGTGACAAGAAGTGTAACAGATGGCCAAAGGGTTGTGAACCATGATCAGACTTTATAGGGCTTTGTTGTTTTATCTTACCAGCAGTAGGAAGAATTGCATGATTTTATGAAGGACAGAGATTATATGTGATTTACACCCTAGGAAGGTTCTTCTAATGGAGTTGCAGAGAATAATTTTGGAGGTGGTGGCAAGAGTGGATGAGTCAGTCGAGAAGATAGTCTTAGACTAGTAGAAAGAAAATAAAAGCACAGGCATTGGCTACCTGAATAAAGTAGACTGATTACAAATGCAATTGTCCCTTATCAACACCAGTTGAATTGCCAACATAGATCAGGGAAATTTCACAAGGCCCCACCCCTAGATGAAGAGGTAAAGACAATTTATAGTTGCTAAAACACAGAGAACCTGTCTTCTTTAGGGGTGAGCCCTCAGTCATTTGCCAATCCAATGTGGTCAGCCCCTAAAACTATACATATGAGCATCACTAAATGAACTTGAGAGGTCATGTATGTGTATATATATGTGTGTATAAATGTACATATGTATAAGCATTTATAAAACAAATAAGACATTTTAAAAAGGAGATCATGAACTTGATGGGAAGTGTGGGGGTGAGAAATGTGGAAGGAGGAGAGGGATGGTAAAAATACAGTACCCATGTATTAATTTTTTTTTAAATAAGAAAATATGTATTTGTCCCTTGCAACCTCATGTTAGGTTGTGAATTTTTACATTCGATCAACTACGGAAAACTAAATTTGATAAAAATTGCACTTGCACTACAAATGTACAGGTTTTGGTTAGATATCTATAAATAATGCAGTTTAGTAACTGTTTACATAAAATTTATATTGTATTATATACTGTAAGTAATGTAGAAACAACTGAAATATACATAAAGAATGTATAATTCCTATGGAACTACAATGCCATTTTCTAACAGGGACTTGAACGTCTGTTAATTTTGCAAGTATTAATAGACCCAGTCTCCAGGAGACAGTGAGGAACAAGAGTGCATTTTAAAATGTTCAACCAGTTGTAGACAATATTAGGTTTGGTGTGGGTAGGAGAAGACAAGAGGAGAAGTAACTGTGGTTGGGGAAGAGAAAACATCTCAACTCAGATGTATGTGAGATGTGTCAGTATAGCATAGATATGAGTGTCAAGCAAATGGTTTGAACCTCACTGAGGATTCTGTCCTTAAGCATACAAATTGGGAATTCTTAGCACATATATGATATGGTTATAAAGATAAATGATTGTGATAATAATGAATATCATCTTGTGAAGGTGAAATTTACAAATGGGTGAAGTTACTATTACAAGATCTGTTTAACTATAGAAAATGAACAAAAAATAAGGTAACATTAATTCTTGGAAAGTTTCAGCACATAAATTAGCAAATACATAACAAAGCAGTGATGACACACGCCTTTAATCCTAGCACTCATGAGGCAGAGGCAGGTGCCCTAAATGAATTTCACAAGTGAGGAAAAACAGAGATTATACAAAACTGGATGGGTAGGGAATCAGGTGGTAAATATTGGTAAAACTCATTGAACAAAATTCTCAAAGAAATAATAGAAATGTATTAACCTGTATTAATTGTATGAAATGATTACCATCATTGTGACATTTCATACATATATATGTGTGTATAGTAAAATATATAAAACTATAATTATATAGTTATAATTATATAATATATTTTATTTATTTTTCTCTCTTTCAGTTTTATGTATATTGATATTTTGCCTCTACATATGACTGGTGTAGCCCCTTCCCTGTCTCCTCCCACCCTCCTTCTTCTTCCTATATGCCTTTTCCCTAGTTCCCTTATAGGGGAGGACTTCCTCCCCTTCTATATGACTCTAGCTTATCAGGTCTCATCAAGGCTTGCTATATCATCTTCCTCTGTGGCCTGGCAAGGCTACATTCCCCCCAGGGGGTGGTGATCAGAGAGCCAACCACTTAGTTCATGTCAGAAACAGCCCCTGTACCTCTTACTAGGGAACTTAATTGGAAACTGAGCAGCCAATGGACTTCCTATGAACAGGGGTTCTAGGTCCTTTCCATGCATGGTCCTTAGTTGGAGTATAGGTCTCTGCAGGCCCCCTGGGCCCAGGTATTTTGGCTCTGTTGTTCTCCTGGTTGAGTTCCTGTCCCTTCCAGGTCTTTCTATCTAACTTGTCTTCCATAAGGATTCCGGCACCCAGCCCAAAGTTTGGCTGAGTCGCAGTATCTCCTTCGATACCCTGGTAGGTAGTCTTTCAAAGGTCCGCTGTGGAAAGTTCCTGTCTTGTTCCTTGACTTCTCATACTTCGGATGTCTATCCGGTTTGCCTTTCTGAATGAAGACTAAGCATATTTTCTAGGATCAAAGGTGGCGGTGCCGACCATGCAGGATATCTGAACAAGAGCTCAGCAATGAGAACAGGGTGACTGGCTTGGTTGGTTGTTAATTGGATTCTTGCCATTAAAAGAAGACTTTATAGAGTTGACTTCACATAGGT